GACCGGGACACCATCAAAACATGACCGGGACACCATCAAAACAGGACCGGGACACCATCACAACATGACTGGGTCACAATCAAAACATGACCGGGACACCAGCATCACATGACCCGGACGCCATCAAAACATGACCGGGACACCATCCGCCCACCAGCTCTGACGGTGACCCGATGGCGCCCGTCCGCCTATTAGTTTTGCAAGACCCCATAGCATGGCTATTGGGGAATTATAGTATGTAAAGTTGATTAAAATTGACATCGAGTGACTAGTGGAACTCGCTTCTCAGAAATTGGCCTGTGTGAATGCTGCGAAAAAGGATGATGAACCGGTCGAACCTAATGCAAAGAAATTGAAATGCAAGAAACGTTGCAGCAAGTCTCTGCTGAGCAATGGACTTTTCCAAGTCGTCGTCAAAAGACTTGAGCACTTGCTCCCGTTGTTCACGGTTCGCATCTCCCTCCAGGTCTCCGGTGCAAGAAGTGCGAGTTACTTTTCCTGTTTGTTTCCTGCGTTTCATTGGACTCAAATGCATTCCAGAGGCACCTTAAGGCAGTGCTCTAAGGCATTGCGTACAAGCTTGCGATTTGACTGCATTCCTGAAACACTTCGACGACCTCGGCAAAGTCGCTCAAAGAAGCTGTGGCAGATAAGAATGTGCAGAATGCTAGTAGTAAGAATGCTCCTAGTAGCGATGCCAGGAGCCCCTAGTAGCGTCCTTGCTCCTAGTAAGGTCCTAGTAGCGATGCTAGGAGCCCCTAGTAGCGTCCTTGTTTCTAGTAGTAAGGCCAGGAGCCCCTGAGTAGCGTCCTTGTTTCTAGTAGTAAGGCCAGGAGCCCCTGAGTAGCGTCCTTGTTCCTAGTCGTCGCTCCAAAGAGTTGAACAATTTTCTCACAAAGGCGCCTATCGACAAACTGCGTCGCTGCGCTTCTGCCTGCCACGGCGAGCTAGAACACCGCAGACGCACGGGATACTCGCAATCCAGACCGGGAGGACATAGTCTGTCCATTGTCAACGCACAATCTGCCGCTATTGGTATCAGTTGGCCCATAATCCTTTGGATCTGGTTAGCTTGGCAACCTTAGACAAATGATGTCTGCAGGGGGGTGGGGGATCAAAAAAAGAGGATTGCATCAGTCAGAATGTTTCGACGGGGATCAAAAAGAAAAAGAAAGGGATCCAAAAACAAATATTCCCAGTGAGCAATGAAAGGAAGAAGAGAGTAGGGAAAGGACAACAGTAGCAGGGCGGGCGACAAAAGGATCAGGCAGTCCCCCCAGAGCAAACCAAAACACAAAGAAAAAAAAAGATAACAAAAGGATAGAAATGTTGGACATAGCAAAGGTGGCGGCCCTATCATCCACCAGAGGACAATGTCAGGATACTTGCAACACATAATCGAAAACTTAGGCGAGGGCATGCAGTATTTGCTGTCGTGGCAGGCGTAGTGCATTGGCAAAAGTGGTGCAGATTTCGTTTCGCTGGAGGGGGTTGGGGGGAGGGCGCAGCGCCTCCCCCCAGAGCAAACCGCCACCAGACTCAAAAAGCGCCGCAAAGTAGATCATCATCGAAAGCTACACACCTCATTGCCCCATCAATGACCAAGGCAACCGGGTAGTTTTTTGCTTTGCAGAGGTCGCACCAAATTTGCAAATATTATGAATGTCACACGCCCCGCGTTTTTTTGACCAATGGACCACGAGGCCAGCTGGCCAGAAGAAGGACCAGGGGACCAATGGACGAACGACCTACTCAGGATAATTATGTTTGATGCTATTCTTATTTGTCTTTGATCGTGTGTTTTCTATTTTGTTGATCCCTTTCTGTTTGATCTAGATGCCTCTACAACTTGGTTCCAAAGCAAACTCGAAAACAGATTGAAGAATGCTTGCATTGATATCATTGAGAGGGATTTCCCTATGAGAGCTTTGCAAGCTTCCGCGTGCCTTCAAAAGGCTTTGTCGCCGCCTGTTGAAACTTGCAAACACTCGTCACAAATTTCAACTGTCTCCTTGTGCAGTTATTTGATGAGATTCGCACCCAGCAGATGGTACCCTCTGTGCTAACCCATGCCGTACTCCCAGGCAAATCCTTGACAGTAAAAAGGATGTCCAGAAGTGCGGTGCAAAGTTGCTTGGAGGCTCACAAGCTGTCATTCTCAGCACTGGTACTTGCGGTCGGATTTGCCTAAGTTTGGGCTGAGCTTCCATTCAAAGCCTTTGCTGAAAGCTAATTCTGCTCAGGAGCTATTCGACCTGAGGGAGGTCTCCCTCCGCCAGATGCCGTGTCTGCTGAGACACCTGCCAACGCAGAGAGCAAAAACAAAGATATTTAAAAAAAGTTAAGAGCCCCTTCAATAGGGGTTGTCTAAAGGATTGTTGCATTGTGATCTTCTTTCTTAAGAACAGAGCCAAAGTTGGCCCGGCAACAGCTTCTCCCCTTTCAACATCCAAGACGACTTTCACCCTGCCTGAAAGAGGCCTCACCTCGAACTATTCAACACATCGCAAGACTCAAAAGTGAAGGTGCTCGACTTGTAGGTGTAGGTGAACTATTCACGTTGAATCATAAGCTGAAGGCAGGAGGCAAATCAACGACCACTTCCACACCGCCACGACGCCTCAGACCTGGTCATGACTGACTCGGCTTGACAAAAAGCAGCGCCAATTGATGTCCATTTGCCTGTCACAGCTTCGTCCTTGGATCGCACCACAAGCAAGTTGCACAAGCAAGTTGCACGGCATTTGGTTCAGAACACATTGCTGAAAAAGTGCCGACTAATCCCAATGAACCATTCAGCCATTCACAAAACCCAACGAACTATGAGACGTTTTATCTGATACAGCTCCGACACTTTTGATGGAATCCTTTGCACCTTAAAACAATAAGATGCATGCTCTTGTAGCCAGTGATATGATCATCTATTATCTATCAAATAAGCTGAAGCTAAGTTTATCCCAACAAACCAACAGTGTCTTTTCAGAACAGACCAAGTGTCTTCGGCCGAGAGGGCTGCTGGCATCCCAGCCACCGCCTGGAGTCAGCAGTAGAAGCTTCCTTGAAGAGCCTTCTTTAGCGTGACAAAACCACAGACGACTTGACAGCTGGTAGACAGTACCCCTAAGCCCAAACGTTGTTTCGTTGGTTATCCCAGCCTGGTATCCACTGCAGCCCACTGATGTCACAGCTGAGTTGGCAGGGCTGCTGTGAATGGACTCCTCGGGCAATCTGGACTCATGGACATGTGTTGTGCAAGAAAGAAGAGCCAAAGAACATGAAGGCTTTTCGGCCTTTTGATAGGCCCCATTAAAGAGGGGCTTGTGAAAGAGGCCCTTGCCTTCTTGTGTTTCCTCTTCTTCTATTTATCGAAATCCATTGCCGGTCTAAAAAGTTCTGACAGGTCCTGAACGACGCCGGGTCGGACTTCCGCAACGCCTAGCAGGTCTGGTACATCAAGTGTACATGGTGCATGGTGGTTTGATATTCAATGGCTTACAAGCAAAGCAGCAAAGCACGGTACCTTCAGATTTGGAGCCGGAGTTTGGGTGAGAAAGTGGCACAGTGTCCTGTTCAATTCCAGGTGAGCCTGAGCTAATGAGAACAAACACTATGGCCATGAGTCAGTCCTGCAGGTCTTCTTCCAGGCCTGGCAAAGCACTTTTCCGGAGCCGCCCGACGGACGACATTTCCACAGTTTTCCCACCTGGATGGCTAGCCTGTGCTTTGGGTGTCAGAGCATCCTACAAAAAAGGGCAGGCAACACGCTGTCGACAACAACTGTGAAATCATGAGATGTCCTGCGTAGTAACTTCTGTTTCCATGCCTGCAAAATATATCAAGTCTAAGGCTGGTTGTCTTAAAAGGAACAAGAGGGAATTATGCCTCAGAACTTGGCACTGGAATCCTATTCTGAAGATATCTCAATGTTCAACTCTCCAACCGATTGAACAAATCGGAAATAGGTGGGCAACGAATGCCAATCTTGGTACCCACCCCTTTGCACAAGCATTGCAGCCAAAACTGTAAATACTATCATACCCAATTTGTAGCTACTAGGAAACAAGTGCGGTTTTGGCACTCAATAATAATCCAGCGTGAGTCTCGGAATAATCTCTTTGTAAGCTCTGCGGTTGAAAGTGCTACTAGTACATTTGCTCTTCAGATGTAGAAGCTTTCTGTCATGTCGTCACTCCACGGCCATCTAGCAGCCTAGACTCACCTAGACTATAGACCTGTACCTATCCTGGATAATCCAAAGATTTGGGTTAAGATTTAAAATGCTGTACCCATGTTTAAAGATGCAAATCAGTTTTGGAATGCTCTCGGCTCAAAAATGCGCAAATACCTATATATATAAGATACTTCCAGGTGGTTCAGCAACCCCTGGTGAGTTAAGGAATGATTTTGTTGGAGTGCCGAGTGCCTGTCCAACAATGAAAGTCTGCAAAAATGTAAGAACGCTAGCCACTGTCTTCTTATGCAAATTTTCAAAATCAAGACTTTGTGTTGGTTGCTGCCTTCCAGCTCGCTGACAGATGCAGGAATTGGAGCTTCCTTGCACTGGAACTGGATTGACACATCGACAACTCCATGTCTTAGTGGATACTTCTCACCTGCTGAAGATCACTTGACATAAGTATCTACCTGTGCATTGATACTTCATTTCTGCCTTGATCTCTCTTGAGGTCGTATTCTCCCACGCATTGGCAGCCTGCTGCGAACCTGATAGATTTAGTCTGGTAATGTGGGGCCCCGTATCACTGGAGTCGGACATATTCCCTTCCCTGCATGTGTCTTTTTGTTCACAATCCTCGTGCCTGATTCTGCGTGGACAGACTCCAGTGGGATGGTCTCCGTTGCAAGCCTGAGAGACAAGATGTTCGGGAAGAGCCCGGTAAAGAAAGTGTGACTAAGAGGCTGGCGATGTCCTTAGCGACCCTTGCGAAGCAAAAGTCACCGATTCGAGAACCGCAAGCTCTTCTTCCAGCTGAGAAACCGGCACCTAAATGTCTTGAAGTAGAATCAATGTGGACAGTGTGTTTGGAGGCGTTCGCAGGAAATAAATGGCATTTGAAATATCCGTTGACTATGACATTCTGGGCACCTCCTCAGGTCGAGTTCCGGCCTCTATTTCCGCTTCATGACCTTGAAACCAAGCGAATCGTGAATCAACGTACACCGCAAGCATAGGTGAAAGCAAGTGAAAACCCTCTCAGTCTCCCAGCTCTCGTCCACTCCCTGTCAAATTGTGGCATGAGTATAAACTTGATCCAACTTAGCCCTTGGCAGCATTCCTGTTCCCGGCTTTTTATATAAGTTCCCTGCAGCAGCTTCAATACGATGCATAGTGCGCAGCTCGAACGCATCATCCAAGGCAGGCGAAGCATCCCAGCCTGCGGCAAACAGTCCTCCTGAAGGTTCTGCTTCTCTAACTTTACATCGCTGACATTGGATAGAATTTGCTGCATCTTGACTGTGATGCGCTCGCAATGCACATTTTCTGCCGCAAATTCTCGCCAGCATGAGGCTACTTCCACGTTGGTCATCCGGCATCGGTACCCAGCATCCTGCAATTTGATTACCTTGGCTGGCCAGCATTGGCTCAAACCGTGCAGAAAGTGCCACGGATGGTTTGCATATTTGGACACCTTCATGAACGCTTCTGAACATGCGCGCACACATGTTGTACTTGGCCTTACACAATGAAGTATTGACACTTGATGTAAAGCAGGGAGGGCGCAGTGACTTAGTGCAAGCATGCAAGCACACTAGTACTGTATGGCAATGCAAATGGAAATGCTGTACCTGCAGAATGAGCCTGTGAAACCTGCTGGTCAGCACTTCAACTTGCATCAACGGTGCCTGTTCGTCCAACGTTCTCCAATCGGAGAGCATGTTCTTTTCAAACTGCACCTGCAAGGAAGAAGCTGCACACAAGGTAAAATGAGCAAGCGTGAACTTGTGTGTTTTGTATGTGTCAAACCTTTAAGAATTGTTGGACTGGCCTGCCACGGCCACAAATGTCGAGAATATCCCAACGCCAGAACTGCTCGCAAAATCTCATGGTCAAACCCTTCGGTGTCCTAAGAGAGCACACCTGGTAGCTTCAGACCATGTTACATAATGCTGACAATGCTTAGTGTAAGACTTGCATTTCAAACATCACCATAAAAATATAAACATTGACATTCAGTGTCCACCAATATACAGTACCTGTGGTTGCAAGTGAGCAGCGATTTTCAGAATATCCAACGAACCTTTGCGGGCATTGATCAGAGAGTTGACTTTGCAAGGCTACCACTGTGCAGCTTGGTGTTCTGAAATGCGATCAAGAAGCCAACACCATACACTGTGACCAATGTTTCGTACGTCATGCATGGCACTTGGACTTTGGCCAGCACTGATCGCAGCATGTCATCTCCCAGAAACTGCCGGACACCTTCAGGCACTTTCTTGATTGATGATGCTCCTCGCATCCAGCCTGGAAGGCATTCAGTAAGCCCAACATCGTGTAAGTGGCTTCGCTGACACAGGCTTTCAGATCCCAAATGGGCATCTATCACATCTGGGCGAACGAAGTAAAGTGTCTCGTAGCCATCATGGTCGCTGATGGCAATGTTCAGCAGTAGCTTGTTTGTGCCTGAAGGAAGTTTGTCAAAGTATGTCCTGAGGGGTTCAATAGAAATACCTCGCACGTCTGGTCGCCAAACATGCCTCGACAAAAGGGTATCAAAGTCAGACGTGCCAATCTCCAAGTAGTGGAAGTGATGCGTTGAGCATGTCCAGGATGACCAATGTTCAATTGTGCCAGTTGTTGGCAGCTTGAGTGGCTCTCTGGCTATCGAATTCTGGTAGAGCACAAAGTTGCGCAAACACTTTTGCTGTGCCCACAGAGCTGTCCTCACATCTGCTGAGCTGTAGCCTGGCACTTCTACAATTTTCTTGCTCGTGTGATCGATCGCCCACATTGGTTCCCATTCAGGTTGCATTCCAAAATTCAGAGTTCTGACATTTCCCAGGTGCTGACATTCATATGGCTTTTGCCAACGGATCCAAATTTGGAGACCTTTTGATGGAAGCAATTGTCGAAGCCACTGCACATGTGCTTCATGGGGTGAGACTCTGGGATTGTTTTTCAATGCATGAGCCCAGGGATTTCCTGTCGCTTCAAGTGTCAGACGATCAGCAATGTAAGCAGCACCACCGAGAAATGGTGCGGTTGCGTATGGGCTGGAGGAGACATCAGAAAGCTGCTCGTCCAGCCATGAATTTACGAAGAGGGCAAGCACGCCTCCCGCACGAGATGGTTTCGAGTGGTCAGTCAAGTAGTCATGTACGGCCTGTGTCAGAGTGCCTTCACCCATCAAAATGTCATCATCACAATGTAGAAATAGATGGAACTCTTTTCTCATCAAGAATGTATCCACAGCGTGCCGCAAAGCGTGCACAGTTCCTGAGCGCCGATCCAATCTGGTGTAGTTGTCAACCCAACCGCGCTGGGTCAGGTCAGTTATCATATCATTCTTCTTCCTGGCATCAGACTTTTCGGAGGCATCGTCCAGGATATGCCATGCAAACCAGGCTTGCTGGGCATGCAACTTGGCGTATTGAAGTGACTGCAACAGGGACAAGGTCGACAGAGCATGAGTCCAAAAACGATTTCGCGTGATCACGCTGAGCATTACACCTACTTCGGCCGTAGTCTCCTGGATAGCAGAAAAATGCAAGACTCCGCATGTGAAGTGCCAGCCGCACAATAGTCGTTTCATCTGTCCACCAGAAAAGTCGTTGGAGCCCAAGAATGCAATCCCTCCTTGAGTCCGCCAGTTCTCAATTGGAGAAAACAAAGAGAGCAAATGAGTGCACTCATGTCTAAAAGTCTAAAAACAAAGTTAAGCAGCAACGAGTCATTAGTCCCCTACAGTAGCCACCTCCACTAGCTTTGCCAAAGGACCCACCGCGTTTCCCGCGAGTCTTTATGTAAACCTTTTCTGAAATGGAAGGCTGGCATCAGCTCATCTCTGACAAGCACGCAGCATTGCACAGCTCAGGCAGTGTCAGGCAGTCTTGCTCAAAATCATCCCACTCCGAAGACGCTGGCTCGAGCATCAAAACAGCTTCAGTTTGATACTGCTAGACTCTTGTAGACGTTTGATTTTGCTGTAATACTGGAGAAAGCTCAAAAACCTAAGCCCAAGCCATTCTCAAGATTTCTCAAGCCTCCTTCAGGCGCAAAACATCCACCTCAGTCGTCTTTCGCTTCGCAACGCATGCAACACATTTGCTTGGATTCAGCCAAGCATCGTAGCGTCTGTGCCATTGGAGGTAAAGGTTCTGGTGCTTGCAGTAAAGGAGGGCTCCTGTTGTCAACAAAGCCAAAGCACCATGTTGATGATCCAGTCATCATTAAAAATACAGTAGAAAAGATACAAAAAATCTGAAAGAGAGGAAGGCTACGGCACTTCAATAAGGCCCCCATACGCCCCCTTACCTTTGCTTTCCTCTCGTTAGTTGTTTGTGCGCCTCTTTTCATCCTCAGGGAACTTCATGGTCCTGGTAGCAATTCATGTCGAGTGAAGATAAGGTTGCTGCGAAAACACGTCCAGCTTTCATGACGGCTCGAGCTTGACGTCCCTTTTTGTGCTGCACTCGAATCTAAATCCGCCGGAGCTTCTCCCATTTGTCCCAACCTCAATATTCTCAAATTGCCTGAACCATTTGGATCCTCTTCAACTTGGGTTTCACACTGCGGGCAGCTCGTTTGTCCAGCTTCAAGGACAGCTTATCTTTGCGGATCTTCCAGGAGGATCGCCTTGGCTGATGACAGTGATGAGCGATGTCTCCTCTCACCTTGGCATCAACCTGACTTCCTTAGCACATGACTCTGGGTTTATCTGTCCCCACAATTCTTGCGCCACATAGCACCTGGCAACAGGCAAGAAGCAGTGCAAGACCTTGCAAGGCTTGCAAGGCTTTTGAAACTTTCTTGCTCAACTGTGCCCAGAGCACCAGTTTTCACCTCGCAACTCAATGATTCGAACCTTACAAGGGGCTTGCAAAGACTGACTGGTCACGCAGGTCACGAGCACTGGACCTCCAGGGTTGTTGCCGTCATCCACACGCACACCTTGTTAGGTGCAATTTCATGGATGCCTGGCCTAGGTGCTACAGTGCATTGGAGAATAACCCGCAAAGAGTGGTTGGCACGCGAGCAGGTTACCTAACACTAGGTCACTAGGTCTCTGGCAAGGACATGTAAACCGAAATGCAATTCTTGTTTTCTTCATCTGCAAAAGAGATGTCCACGATCTCGTTCCATTTGTCGATGGTGCGCACCCATTCTCGTTGCTCCTCATGGGCACTTTGGAAACTACTCCTCATCCTTCATCAGCTCCTTCAGCCCGGCTCCTGGTAAGATCCAGCCAGCCGCCCTTCGTTCAAATCGCTCTTTTCATTGTACCTGAACCCATATCGTTCTTTTCTGCTCGCACACCACAAGTGCTGTGATGGGAAGCTCAGCTTCCAGCAGCCCGCCATCTTTGCCAAGTGCACCGGCAGCGGCGGCAGCAACAGCCACTTCCTCCTCTCCAATGGGCGCCTGGTGTATCAAAGTGATGTATTGTTGTTTGATGTTGGTGGCATGTTCTGTCGTACGCTTAGCAGCCGACAGCAGAAGCAAGCTCCCTTGCCTGAAAACTATGGAGAGGAAAAGGGACTTTCTCACAGGCCGAAGCAGATCATGCCTCTGCCAGTTTCTGTCGAATCTCTGCATTTTGAGGCTCTAGCCTCGCAAAGGTGACCAATGAACACTTAGCCTGACTTGGAGAGTGTCTAGCTTCACAATGACTCGTCCTTCAATGAGTTCAGAAAGACGTGATATGAGAAAAAAAGAAGGCCAGGCCTTTGTGCCTTCTGAAGGTCCTGCAAAGCAAGGGCACATCTCACATCACGTGTCTTCTCTGAGTTTTCCAACAAATTGGGTTCCAAGAGAAAAGTGCAGGAATCAACAACACGCCTCAGCAGCACCGCGAGGCTCACCAAGTTTCAGGCGAGCAAGACCTCGTCGATATGCCTGAAAAGAAGAAAGCAGGAAAGGAACAATGGCAAATGGCAAGGTAGCTACAAGCCATAAGCAAACTGTCAAAATGGAACAAAAACACATATATTTAGACTTGTCGGATACAAAGCGTATATACAAAAAAACTAGACGACGAGTGGCCCGAAAGCATTCTGCATCACGTAGGAAGTCAGAGTGTGAGTTATCTGTTAAGTGTTCAGTGTGAACTGTTTAAGTCGAGTGAGTTGAGGTAGTGTGAGGGTCTCTGTGTGTGTATCTATGTCCGTGTGTATATGAGTCTGTGTATGTGTGTGTGTTCGAGTAAGTTGAGGCAGTGCGTGGGTCTCTGTGTGTGATGTGGCCTCCCAAACCCCCCACCGGCGGCCAAGCGGTGACAGCCCAGCTCATCGTCATGAGCATTTGAGCTGCTGGTAAGGGGAGAAGCAGCGTGCACGCCTCCAGGAAAGCTCACTGAAAAAAACGAGCCGGAATGAAGACAGAAAAGTGCCGAGGCAGGTGCGCAACAAGTGTGTCAAAGCAGTGACCTGTCAGAGGAGATGCGTCCAGCGATATACGATCAGAGGAAACGTTTCCTTCACTCCAGGACACAGTTGGCTAAGTGACTGTCTCAAAGAAAAACGTGACAAAGTAGCATGAGGTGACACACAGCAGGCACTGTAGATGTTTAGCGTACTCTCGCAGTTCAGCTCGCGACCAGTATTATAGTGAACGAAGTAGCGCGCAGGCCTCCCAGACCCCCCACCGGCGGCCAAGCGGTGACAGCCCAGCTCATCGTCGCGAGCATTTGAGCTGCTGGTAAGGGGAGAAGCAGCGTGCACGGCTGCAGGAAATCTTACTGAAAAAAGCGAGCTGGAATGAACACAGAAAATTGCTGAGGCAGCCACGCAAGAAGTGTCTCGAAGCAGTGACCTGTCAGAGGAGATGTGTCCATCGATATACGATCAGAGGTAACGTTTCCTTCACTCCAGGACACAGCTTTTCTAGGAGGATGTAGTTCACCAACCACTATGCTTGTCATTGACTAATTGACTGTCTCAAAGAAAAACGTGACAAAGTAGCATGAGGTGACACACAGCAGGCACTGTAGATGTTTTAGCGTACTCTCGCAGTTCAGCTCGCGACTAGTCTTTGTACACAGAAAAGATAGTGTATGTCTAGTACTTGTTGCGCTTCCGCAGAACGACGTCCACGCAGGATTTGTCAGGAAGAAGTCACGGTATGAGACATGCAGTTGGTTATCGTGTGAACATCTTATTATTTTTCACCTCCATTCAGGGTCTTTGCCTGGTCTGGGTCTAGCGCGTCGACCCGAAGCAGATCTGGATGGTGTAGGCATCTGTGAAGTTGCGGCTGTTGTTCCTCACCCAGTCTTCCCATCCACTGGACCGCCTGATCACTCGCCAAAACTGCCAGGTTTCTCCAGCCCAGTGTCTGGTTTCTATGGACTGGTTTGGCGTATGTCCTGCTTCCATAGGACCAACAGAGGCACACCTGTCTCTGGTCATCATGGCTGACGCTGAAGAAGTGGTCGTCAACAATGCCAAGGTTCCCTGGCATGATGGCTGGGCAAAGAGGCAGACCTACGAGCTAGTGGGCTGCAAATTGGTAAATAGCACATGCATAGCCATAAGAAGGCTCTGTTTGCCTTGTAAAGGTTTATGTGGGAAATGAATGTTGCAAAAGCTTGTGGGGTGCGTTGAAACTTCTTGCAAGTATATTCTTCATTGCTGTTGAGTTGGTATTTTGGTAGTTGGCCCAAGTTGTATGGAGACTTCTGCAATCTCACTGTGAGCACCGAAAGGTCAGCCACGGAAAATGCACAGTCTGTTTGCGCAGATGCTCTAAAGGTGACATATGTGCTTCGCTCTAGATGTAGTTAAGAACCACATGTGCTTCGCTCTAGATGTGACATGTGCTTTGCTCTTGTATCGGTCTCTGTGCGCGTGTCTATGTTGTTCAGTGTGACATGTTCAGTCTAGTATGTCGAGTCCGTGTGTGGGTCTCTGTATGTATGTCTATGTTGTTAAGCGTGACGTGTTCAGTCTAGTGCGTCGAGCAACACGCACGATCTACGCAGAGGGCCATGCGCGCGTCGCACCAATCGCACTCTCGCCTGCATTTTGTGTACTCGACGCGCGCGATCTCCGCAGAGGGTTGCGCGGGTACAGATCCAAGTCGCACTCTCGCCTGTATTTCGCGCACACGACACGCACAATCTCCGCAGAGGGTTGCGCGCGCACAGATCAATTCGCACTCTCGCCTGCATTTCGCACGCTCGACACGCACGATCTCCGCAGAGGGTTGCGCGCACACCGGACAAATCGCACTCTCGCTGCATTTCGCGCACTCGACACGCACGATCTCCGCAGAGGGTTGCGCGGGCACCGGACAAATCGCACTCTCGTCTGCATTTCGCGCACTCGACGCGCACGATCTCCGCAGAGGGTTGCGCGCACACCGGACAAATCGCACT